TCTTTTTTTTTTAATTTATTTTTTTTGAAAACTTAAATTGCCTGATTTAAAGGCATACCTGAAAAAATCTATTTATTTCAAATTAATAAGATTATGTTCTGCTAATCGCACTTACTCACAAAATATCAGCAATTCAATTTTTTTCCTAACAGCTTTCCAAACAACGCTTACCGATTTATTCTAAAAGCTTTAAAAAATACTTGCGTATTCCGTAAACACTGGGGCTATAAGGTAGCCATTACTGGCTTTATTAGTCGGAACCTACTAATTTTTATAAAACTAAATATCAAAATATAATGCTTTAAGTAAAAAAAAGTTTGCTCGCTGCACACCGATAAGGCTMATGGCAAGCGATAACATATCATGTGAAATAGCCTTAAGCGACAATGTCTTTGACATAATTATGACAAGCATGCTTACTTTAAGCATTTAAGTTTAATAATAGTCCATCGCTCAGCGCGAACTGCTGCTTTAAGCCAATTTAATAAGCCGCACTCACCTCACTAAAATGTTGCATTTGACAACAACTAAAGCAACCAAAACCACTGTTATGAACTAAGCACATAAAAATGTAAATATGCATGTACGCATGTATTTACATACATACAAACGAGCAAAATTGACTTTCGCTCTCGATAGCGACATGCCAATAACCTCAACAATAATACAAAAGTCACACAAAAACAATAACAATGAATTAAAACAAATAAACCAGTGACAAACGCAGACAGATTTCGAGTCACAAAGCTATTTAGGTATATGTATGGAAACATWCGTACGAGAGGACAGAGGAAATTTGCGAAAATCCAATATTTCGCACAGTTACCGAGTGACTTAGATTCTTGAGCGCGCGCGCCAACTACAAAAGCGGACTAGCTAGCTTGAAATGCTATGTGTCTGGTGGCGTGCTGTATATGGGCGGCATACGACACTGCTTACACACATACACACATACACATATACTTATAAAAAAAATTTAAATACGGTAGCACGGCTGTTAGGAAAAAACTCAAATGGAATCAAAACAAATGCGCAAAATTAATTTTTTTGCATAGAAACAATAGAATGTGAAACTGGTAGAGGAAGCAGCAGCGGCAGATGAATCGAAAATAAAGCGAGTTAAATTTAAAGTCAGTTTTTTTTTTGGCGTAGACACCGTTTACGCCGAGCTCCACAAAGTCTCATCCGAGGTGGTTTTCTTCCTTTCCTTTCATTGGGGATTCCCAAACATAGCGCTCAACCCTGGGAAGCAGTTCGTTTCGAAAATTTATTGGGAATTACAAATAGTAAACCTGTTAAACTATGTTTTAAAGGGCATTTTGTATGCACACAGCACTCTTATAATCAGCTCTTGTCARGACCGGCATCAAAATAATCAAGAGCTCGTGATATAGGCGCACACAAAAATGTCTGCATATGCGGAAACAACTCCAACTAATGTCTTATACGATTCATATACATATACATATATTTATAATCATATATGTATGTATTACTTGTATGTATTATAAGCACACTTCGCTTGTATCATATATTCCGCGAATTGGGCTTTTTGTACACTTATCGCATAATTTCGCCGGGCAACAGYCAGCGTGAAGAATCGCCCGCCCGCCTTAGCAACTGACGTGTATGGCACCTGACTATAAACAAAAAACAAAAACCAAACTTTTTTGGTAAATATTTGCTTGGCATATTTGCCCTTTATTTGTGCGCCATCCCCTTTTTTTGCCATAGCTTAGCGAATTTGCGYTCACTGTGCTCGGTTGGCGCTAATTTGTTGAGCTACTTCACGTGTCATATGGCAAAATGAAAATAATTTGTTATTTTGCATTTATTATTAAGAGCTGTGCGCACACAAACACACTTACATATGCGCATATCTATCAAATTGTTTGCTAGTTTCGGGTTCAATAACTGCTAATCATATTCGGTTTGTATGGCAACTACATGCTATAGTGTGTCGGTTTGAACAGTTTCTTCCGATATTAAATTATTTCTATCAACAATAACTCATAGTAAATTTCGTGAAGAAAC